AAATAATTAAAATAAAACGTTGTTATAAAAAAAAAAAAAGAAAAAAAAAATTTTTTAATTTTTTTTTTTTTTTTTTTTTTTTTCTGTCAGACTGTAATTACTACAGTCTGGCAGAAAGAGCGAACTTATCAGCAGTCCTGTCACACTGTGCCTTCCCTTTCACTGGCTCTGATCAAAGACAAACCTGCAAGTACTTATCACGACATGCATCACTTGGTCGTGATGGAGCCTTACAGTGTCCAGCCTCAAATTAAGGTCCCTTCTTTATCACCCAAAGTCACGCTATATAAAGAAACACTACATTTTGCTCAGTAGCAAAAATACCTTCATGTTAGTGTTTAAATCTCAGATTGGAATTGACTCAAAGCTTTGTCGTAAACATAAAAGGTCCTCACATATTACAGCCTAACCCTTAATGGAGTAATTAAACTCACATTCTATTAAAGGTGACCTACTATGCTTGCTTGAACAGGTTAGAATTGGTCTGTGGGCTTTACAAAACATGTTCATTACATTTTCTGCACAAAATCGTCCTTTGATAATGAGATTTTAGTTTGCTCAGTTCTGCTTATTTTGAGATCCTTTCAGAATGAGCCTTTAGGGCCTCTTTTCACTTCACATCCAAATAAGCTGCTGCTGGCTACGCCCCCTAACTCAACTTTTGAAAATGACTGCAAACAGACATTTTCAAAAATGAAAATTTTTGAAATTTGCGCAATTATACAAATGTAAATCTTTGAGAAGCATTAGTAGAGTCTCCTGCACAACCAACAAGAACGCAGCAAGTGGTTTGTGAATGTCAAGTCAACAACAAAACACTTGTATTTTCCAGCAGCCATTGTAGAGCACATACAGCAGTAAAACCAGTTGACCAAACGTTCTGAAACTAGGAGACGGGTGGAGCTTCACCTGGGTTGCTAGGTAATGTGCTGGACTTCTCTGGGGTTGCATTCGGAAGAGTTTTGAAACGTCTCATTTTCCAGACACCAAAACACCTCTTGCCAAAGATTGACCGTGCAGTTTTTTAAGACCTTGTTGTCTAGATATTAGGTTAATATTCCTTTTCAAATACTGTCAGGTTTGTTTTATAATATAATTTTTGTATGAAAATAAAAAAAAATCCGGTATTTACCCAAGTAATCTTTGATAGTAACTTTTTAATGATCTAAAACCTTTAAATGTGACATAGAAAAACTGAAGAGATCTGTAAGGTAGGAAAAACCTTTTCTCAGCACTGTAAGTGCCAGCATGTTGAACTTATTATTTTTCTTCAGGATGTTTTATGATGCAATCACAGGAAACGGCACGAAGCACAAAGTTGTCACTGTGAAGCAAAGGCTTAAAAGGAATTGACCAATATCTGGGGATGTTAGCTGCTTGAGTTTAAGTTAATTTAAAGCTTGAAGTTCATTTAAAGCCTCTTCACTCCAAAAGCATAAAATAAGTAAGTAATTCTGGTTAAAATATCTTAGTACACTAAGACAACACTAAATTACAAGTTACTTTTCAGCAAGATGGAGGAGATTGTTTTAAGCAAATAGTTCCTTTAAAATTGATGAAAAAGTACTAGTTCCACAGACTATTTCACTCTTAAGGGAAAAATGTCTTATGAGTGAAATAATCTACTAGTGGAAATAGTTCTTTTTCATTAATAAGGAATTATTTACTTAAAATCTCTTCTATCTTGCTGAAAAGTTAAGTTAGCTTTGTCTTATTTCAGGTGTACTAAGAAATTTGCTCAATACTTGGTAAGATGTTGTATTTTTGCAGTGTGTGTGATATTTCTGCTAATATGTTGAACTCTTTTCACTTAAGACTCTATAAAGGATAATCTTATGAAACACCGCCGGGCAAAATCTGAAAAATTCAGATCATACCACTTCTCTGAGTCTTTGCTTCGAGGCTTCCTTGAAGATCCGAGCACCGCTCGCTAAGACACTTAGAATAATGGAATACAATGATTTATTAATTGGACTGTCAGCCTAATTGCATTAGATTTCCTGTGTTTCCTTTTTCCCTTTAATTTCTAAAGGGAGATAATCTCATTAAACAGACACGCTCAGGAAGTTTTACATCATTGTTACTTCACAGCATCCAGCAGAGGACTGTTTCTCTGGCAGCTAAGAGTGAAATAAGGTCTGCTATAAAAAACACCCTAGATTGTGAGGTGCAGACAGCGGCGTACCACTGAACCTCAATCCATAATCCATAATCCACCGCGGGGGGATTATTGAGCATTCGTGGCTCCATATCTGTACCTTGAGCACCAGCTGTATGGGTTTGAGGTAGCGGCAGCTGGTGCTGGGATCAAAGCTCCTCTCACTGGGCATCAGCACCGCTGGCTTCAGGACGTACCCGCAGCCGCCGTTGTCTTGGAAACGGCCGTTGTTGAGGTCCATGGACAGGCCCGGAGACTGGAAATTCAGAGCCACTGCAAAACACAGAGGGACAGTCTGAGAACAATGAGAGTCATGAGCCTCACGGCAACATGAGAGCAGACGCTGCGTGTGCCCAAAGCTCGTCGGGGGGAAGGAGGCCGGCGTCTAAAGCTCATTCCGCCGCACCCAGGAGAGTTACGTTATGGAACACTTCAAATGTTTCTGCAGCAAAGGTTACGTCAGAGAGACGGAGAGGTGTCTGTTGTCCAAACCTTTAACCATGTCCACTGCATATACCAGGGGTGTCCAACGTGTGGCTCGGGGGCCATTCATGGCTCGCTGAAAGCATTTTGGGCGGCCAAAAGGGAGCCAGTCTGGCTTGTGGTTGATGCAGTTGGGACACTTTCTTAACACGATTTACAGATAAATAAATATTAGGTACAAAAATAGATCCCCATTTATCAATAAGGTTTTTGCATTCATCTTAATTTTAGATTTAATTATAACCTTTTTCCCAAAAGCAAATATTACTTTTCATATTTCTTTTCTCTTTCAAGAAAACAATCAACCCAAAAAAATGTAGAAATTGTCGGACTTCTTTAAGTTTTGTATCTACAATGATTTAGTATTTTCTACAGAAGTCTGACCATTTTTTTTTTCATTTTTACAAAATTTAAATTTTATGTATTATTGAGCAGCTAAAATAAAAAGGAACCAAGAGTCTGTTTTATATTTAACATTTTAAATGTGTAAAATAAACAAAATTTAAACTTCAAATAAAATTAATTATGAAGTCTCTGTACACAAAATTGTCCTTTAAAAAAAGGGCTAGTTGGGACCAAAACACTTTGGTCGTCCAGTTTTTGATGAGAAGAGAGAAAAACAATAAATCATGCAAATAAGAAGTATTGAGTTTCAAACGATGCCCTACCCTAACTCTGCAGACTGCAGTGGGTTTGCAGCTATTTAGGGCCATGCCACAGTTTTAATACCATGTATTTTCTTCATTTCACTGCACAACAATCCACTACTTTGATTGGGCTTCCTGAAAAAAATCTCAACAAAATTTGAGTAAATTCAAGGGGTACAAGCAGTTCTGCAAAGCACTTGACCAGACTTCTGGCACAAATGAGAAAACTGTCAAATAAAAGAAGAAAAATATGCATAGCTGCCAAAATGTTTGTCTGAATTAAGAACTTTCTCCAGCATGCGGTGTGAAGCTCTGCTAATCTAACAGTGATTGATCTGTCTGAGCTTCTGCTTTGTTCGTCTGTCTCAGAGCTCTGCAGCTGCTGAGCTGCCCCCACGCAAACGCGCGCCGTCTGCTCAGCAGGGCTCCTTTTCAAAGACGCCACCAACCTGAATGAGCGATGGAGACGGATGAGGAGGAAGTGCAACGACAGACGGAGTGACGGGAGCCTGCAAGATGCAGCGATTCAGTGAGTCAGGAAAACGCAGTGAATAGCTGCAGAATTATACATGTAAAGTTTAATATTTTCACTCAAAGCGTAATTTCACTGAGAGAAGTTTGTTACCGTTGATGTCGTCAAACTCGATTCAGACTGTTGAGTGTGTAAAATGAAAATGTAGGGGGCTCTGACAATGGCACAGCCGCTGTGCAAAGGAAATAAAGAAATACATTTACACAGGAGCAAATCAATCTGGAGGAGGTGTGATAGGAGGCAGCAGAGACGTTGCTGCAGGGGCTGATGATCCCAAATGGAAAACAGATTTCTAAGCCATTCCCTTTGAAGTTTGACAACTTAACTTCTGGACGGCAACTTCTCTCCGTCTCAGCTTGTAATGAGTTGCAAAGACGATTCGGTGAATGTCGAAAGCTTTTTGAGTCCTTGTGACACTGCAGATACAAGGGATCAAAAAGAGTCTGTATTCATTTATTTAACATTTTGACAAGGACATTTGTGTCTGTACTTGGGATGTCGCTTAATGGTTTATTAGATTAAAATTAGTTACAGGTGATAAACTAATAAGGTCTGCTTCTTTCAGTGTTGTAGTTCGGCCGCCATCCAGCAAAGGGCGCCGCTGGTCATCCTTAAACAGAGCCAGTTGATACAGAAACAAAGATGGCAGCGGGATACCAGAATGGGAAAGAGAAACGGTCTGGTGTGGGATGCACAATGCATTTATGCAGTTCTGTTTTGAAATATAAACTCTCTGTCAGAATTATGTTTATGTCAGAACTTTTTTTACTACAATTTTGACCTTTTTTCTCTATCAGAATTATGATACATCTCAGAATTCTGAATTTTTTCTCAAAATTCTGATTTTGAACTAAAAATTCTGACTTTAATCTCAGAATTCTGAAGTTTTTCCCCAGAATTCCGACATTAATCTCAGAAGATTAAAGACAGATTTCTTTTTTGTCAGTGGCCCTAATCCTCTTACATAACAAGCTCCTTAAGTTTCACAAGGTTTTTTATTTTTCAAAGCCAAAATATGACAAATGTAGCCCTTTATAAAATGGAAACGATTGACCTTCTTCATACAAGAGAGAACTATTTTTTTTTTAAAATGGGCGCCTCTAAATTAATTAGTTGATCAATAAGGTCAGTCAACTTTAGACTAATTTATCAATAACATTAGATAATACTCCACACTGTTGCAACAGCATTTAAAAATTTAAACATCAGCGTTTTCTCAATAATTAATTAAATCTACATGTTTTTCTAACAAGTGTGTCCAGAGGTTCTGGACTCACCGAGCTGCGCGCCGACGTTCCAGAACTCCTGCGGGTTGTAGTTGGACGAGGACGTTCTCGAGCCTGCTGGATAAATTCTGCTCAGGAACCTCTGATTGTGCTGAATAAAACTGGAAGCTGAAAGAGAGGATGCAGAAGCCGGTCAGGGGGAAATGTTAAACATACGGCACTGAGTGCCACTTCCTTGTCACACTGGACGCCATCAGGCGGTAATGGGGTTCATCTGGAAGGACATGGTCAATTTTTGACGAGTTTCGAATACATTTTTCAGTTTGGTATGAGACGGATCTTATTCTTGCTCCTGGACTACAAATAATCTTCAGCTTCAACATGCAGTTCTGTGGAAAAGGTTTAAATAACTCTTCATTTCTTAACATTTTGCCTCCAGGGAGCCAGACAGTCCTGTAATCTCATTACTTGGTCTTGATGTATGGATTCCTTAGGTTTTCTGAACATCTCTAAAAGTTTGTCTTTGGACATTTGGTTCTGTTTTATTCATTGTCTGGCCAAAAAGAGGAAATTGGACAACTGGAGTTCAAAAGAAGGTCAGTTCACAGGAACAATAATTTCACATATAAACTTTTAACACCCCTCAGATTTAGAAAGAAGGTGTTTACCGGGTAAACATTTCCTTCGAGCACTTTCTCTCACAGACTGCTTCAGCTCTGTTGTCGCAGGGACAGATACAGGAAATCTTTCCTGCCACAGGCTATCACTTTA